CAAATATATCTATCATTCCATAAGATTTTAATTTTGATTTCTGATATGAAAGGCATCAGGCATTACTTCAAGAAATGTAYGCCTTTAATTTCTAAAGTAGTATAAAATTAACAATATAGTTTTTATGTAGTTAATGTTTTTTATGTAGTTGTTTTTTATTGCAATTTCCCCCAGGTATCATTGAAGTATTCTGATTCTGATTCTGATGTTGTACTACTTAAAACAGTGTTGAATGAAGTCAGCTGAAATCATTTGGTTTATAAAAAATATTTAAGCATCTTAATCAAAGATGTAGAAACTTCAGCAGTTGCTATTTCTGTTTTAGGAGTTTTTTGAGAATCCGGCCTTCAGGCCCGACGGTTTGAAGCTCTACCCAACGCTTGTGATTCGAGGCACGGGGCTGTACGAGCTGTGGAAGACGGGTCGGTACAAGAGCTACTCTCCGAGTGCCCTGGTGGACCTGGTGGCACGAATYCTGGCTCTGGTTCCCCCCTGGACACGAGTGTACCGAGTGCAGAGGTGAGGAGGAAAACTGTTGGAGACATGATAAAAGCTGCACCAAGAAAAATTATACACAGGACACTAGACACGTGTCAAGCGCTTCAGGAGCAATTTTGACTTGCGTCTGATCTGTCACTAGCGTTCAATGTGAACGCAGCATAGCTTTGGGATTTATCAAAAAGGAAAGTTTTCAGTCGTAGACAGAGTGTCAGCCTCACGGACAGAAACTGGAAGTTGGTTCCACAARAGAGGAGCTGATAACTGAAAGCTCTGCCTCCCATTCTACTTTTAGAAACTCTAAGTACCACAAGTAAACCTGCAGTCTGAGAACGAAGTGCTCTGTTTAGATTCATCAGGTTTCATGCATAAATATCACTGAGTATCATCAGCGTAACAATGGAAATTTATCCCATGCTGTTTAATAACTTTACTTAATTAAAGCATATGTAAAGTACAGAGGATTGGTCCATGCACTGAACCCTGAGGAACTCCATGACTAACTCTGATGTAAGCAGAAGATTCATTATTAACATTAATAAACTAAAACCTATCAATGAACTATGACTTAAACTATTTTAGAGCCATTCCTATCTCAATATCAATTTCAAGCCTCTGTAATAAAATATTGTGATCAGTTGAATCAAATGCAGCACTGAAATCTAACAGGACAAGAATGGAGTCCTCTGTCTGAAGCCATGAGAATATCATTAGTAACTTTGGATTGGGATTGTTTTTATTCTATTCTGTCTTCTATTAAAGATGAATAATATAGTGTTCTAGCTTTATGAAGGGCTTTCTTATATGTTAGCACGCTGTCTCTCCAGGTAAATAAATTTTCTAGAGTTGTTTTTGTTTGTTTTGTTTATTTAATTTGGTTTGTGGGTGAACTGACACAGTTTTAATGGGGGTTTGGTTGAGTAACGGGCGCAGCAGCAGGGAGTTGTGTAAGACTAGAACTCTTCCTGGACTGGACCCTGGGTTGACAATAATTTCGGTGGTCAAAAAAACTGGTCAAATTCTTAGAAAGGAGAGCAGCTCCAGCCAGAGTAGGGTSGATGCCGGATAATTGAGATGGATTCAGTTGTAGAAAAAAATCTACAGCAAATAACCCCCATTATTTCTCAACATAAGATGATTTTAACTTGAAACTTTGGCATGAGTCTTAAAAAACTAAAACAATTGTTGCTTCTTTGTTGTATTACAGTCTAGAATAAATTTCTCTTTTTTTGTTTTTTCTTCCCAGTGTGTTACTCTTGTCCTCTCTGCTCTTTTTGCCTCTCTTAGAAAGGGTGTTAATGACAGAAGCAACATAAATGTAAAGATATTCAGATACTGTAGTTCTTTGTTTGTGATGTGCTGTAGATTTTACATGGTAACCTCTGTCGTTTGAAGCTGGTCGTTTTGACATTTCCCTCTGTCTTCCCCCATCCCAACTCCTTCCACTACCAGGGACATCCCCATGCCGCTGGTGAGCTCTGGTGTGGAGCATGGTAACCTGAGAGAGTTGGCTCTAGCCAGGATGAAGGACATGGGCACTGAGGTGAGAAGGCGTTAAAGACTGTGTTCATATTTGTTAGTCAGGAAGTTATGGACTTTTCTAGCTGGACTGTGGTCCAGAAAAGGTTCTGGTGGGGTACGTTGTCTGCGATGGAATAAAATGGCAGAATAAAGAAAAGCATTCAAAGTAAAGGTCCGCTTATCCGAGGTCGGGTCTTGGGGGCAGCAGCCTAAGCAGAGAAACCCAGACTTCCCTCTCCCCAGCTGCTTGGGCCAGCTCAATCTTTTTCAATMTGACTACCAGTATATTTTTTACACTGTGATTGTTTGTCTGCCTGTCTTAAGAGTGCTGTGGAGGAGGGAGAGACATACAATATGTACAGCGGGTAAAATAAGTATTGAACACTTCACCATTTTTCTCAGTAAATATATTACTAGAGGTGCTAATGACATGAAATTTTCACCAGATGTCAGTAACAACCCAAGTGATTCATACATACAAAGAAATCAAACCATAAATGTCCAGAAATGAAGTTATTTGTAATAATGTGGA